GTACAAAGTATTAGATAAATTTCAGTAAGTGTGTTCAATACTTTTTCACTGTGCCATTCCACATTATTTTGATTTATTTGTATGCATGGATCACTTGGGTTGTTACCGACATCTGGTGAAAATTTCATGTCATTAGCACCTTTAGTAATATACTGTATTTACTGAGACAAATGGTGACGTGTTCAATACTTATTTTACCCGCTATGTTCTTATACGTGCAGATCAATGTTGCACTGGGTTATCTTTGAGTTATCTTTAATGAATCAATGAAGTAATGATTAAATGCATTTGCAACTATACTAGCATTGTCATATAATTTATTATCTATGTTTAATTCTATTGGACTTGTTTTTGTTATTGACTAATTGAACATAGAACGGCAACTGACGTGCCTCTGCCAAATATTGCCAGGCTTTGTTCTGATACAATGTCACAGGAATATGATCTGGAAAACCACTTCTGCCTTTTTTTAAACACTGGTTTACACAAACATCAGCTAAATCATTCAAATCAGGTGTATTGGTTTAGAACCTCTAAGACACTGAAGACAGTGAGGGCAAAGTCTGGACACCCCAGCTGTATCTGTTTTTAGTCCTTACTTCTACAACCACTGTTACTGTTACTGAACTAAATGAAATAAATCCATGGCTTTAATGATTTGCCTAGACTCCGCTACATAAATTAATTTTGTGAGAATTTCCCATTTAACCAAAAGATTGTTAAATGTCACAGAGGTACAGACAGTGGACGAGATGAATAAGTGTGGCTGTGAGTCAAATGGAGCAAGATCCATGGATTTAGTGCGACAGTGTCAGTGAAAACAACACTACAGTAAAACTGACATCCCGCTTTGTAAGTCAGGGCAAGAGCAGTGGCAGCTTTGTCCATGTGCGATTTATTTGCAGTATTGGACGTGGAGTGGATCTCTTCTGGGCTCTGACTGCACCTGGGGTAGCTGCATGACACTAAAGGCTGGGTCAAAGGGCAAGATTGTAAAAGAGTCGGACGATTTTCAAAGACTGATTAAAAATCATGGATCTACCAGGTTTGGTCCTACAAAAACAAAAAAAAGGTCAACAATTGTACCCAAAAGGTACTTTTATTGGGAAAGTACTGTAAGTACAGAGAAGGACCCTTGGGGTGATTTACTGTGGACCTACAGTGGTACAAAATCATTGATCAGCGCAAATGGTACAAGATTGTACCAGTAGGAGTCAGTGTTGGGTGCGGTATTTCCTGTGTGTGGTGTACAGACAGATTTTGTTCATTAATACTCAGTTGTCAGACATGAACTCACGCAAGAAGACTTCTTATAATCTTGCGAGAATTCAGATGTCAGAGGAAAAATCTCACGTGATCTTCAGCGAGATGCGAGTTCAGAGTACATAAATAGTTGAGATGAGGAAGAAACTATGTTGATCGTTTGTGGACAAATTTTAACAGAAAAAAATATTCAAAATGAATTCTACAACATCCAGTGGACTTTCTGGTGAGTCATGACGGTTTTTTATGTATTCTGTATTTTGGACTCCCCTCTGTGTTTACGTCACCTTGCTTTCTGAGCCCCGTTTCAGAAAGCAGGATAAGTGGAGATCCTGAGTAAGTTCTGAGGTACCTATTGTGCATATCCTGAGTTGTTGGTTTCAGAAAGCCAGATAACAGTTATTCTGAGTTAACTTATCCCCACAACTTAAGGCCCCCACATACTCTAGCGCACATCGGTCCGCGGAGGTCCGCGCGTACTGGAGGCAGACGCAATGCGGTCTCGAAGCGGACATCTGCTGACTGATCCGCGCAGAGACCAATTTTTTACATCTGCAGTGCGCACAGTACACACATGTACTGTTCTTGGTGTCACACCCAGAACAGTACATGCCACTGTGCGCACTGCGGACTGTGCGCACAGTGCGCACAGTGCAATTTACAATGCAATAAACAGATAAAAAAATGTATACAAAAAGAGCAAATGCAATGTTTTTGATGAAACATAAACTGTGTAAATAACCATTAWAACAATCTGTATATTCTCACTTCCTAAAATAATTACTTGACATTTTTTGGCAAAACGAATAAAATAATAAATCAATAAATCTCATTTGTTCAAATGTTTGTTTACTTAAAAACTAGAAAAAAGTGATTATTTTAGGAAAGTGTTGATATGTGAACATAATGTAATAAAGTGCATTGTACCAATATATCCTCGAGCCCGCGCCCAAAACAGCCTTCTTGGTTCTCCAGGACCAAAACTGTGAAAGTGTGCAGGGCTGACAGGTTTTATGTCAATAGGGACCTCATCAGCCAGAAGTTTATTAAGGCCACCTTTTGCATTCTCTGTCAGGACTGGTTTACTGTGAAACAAACAAATATAAAAATCAGAAATTAAGAATAATTTTACAGTGAGTCATTCCACCAGCAAGAATGGAAAAATACTACAAAAAACAAGACAACATGGCTGATTGAATCTACAAAACTTGTTCTGGCACTGAAGATACCAATCAACTGGGATCAATTTCAATATGTGTGTTAAAGCTGCAGTCTGTTACTTTTTAAAATATATATTTTTGACTTATTTGTTAAAACTGTCACTATGTCCTGACAGATTGATATTAGACAAATAATCTCTGGAAAAAAAAAGTCCTCTGGCTCCTCCCGGTGGTCCTTTTGCCCTCTGTTAAAACCTCTCCGACCCGGAGACTGAACAGCCAATCAAAATCGAGGTTTGTCTCATGAACGGAATCAGAGTGGGCGTGTCACAAGAGTGGGCGTGTCAAAAGCATAAACACTGTGCTACAAGGCCTACATGATGGTATCCTTAGATCTGCTGGATCTCTTTACAGCCTGACCCTGACCCCAACACACTAAGGTTAACCAGGAGAAATGTGACCCAAGTAGGGTTCTCCAGAAAAAGTGGTGCCGTACAGTAACGACCCTTTTGTTCTTGTCCAATGAGGTGGTGCAGTACGGTATCGCCGCTTTTTTGCTTGTCCAGTCAGGTGTGTCCCTTTAACAAAGTCCGTCAAATCAGGTGTGTCGCTTTAGAATCGCCTTTCCCACTCGTCCGCACTCGTCCACAGAGACCCCTACTTGCATGAATGCGCTGCTCTTGCCCATCCTCCCTGTCCCTGTCAGCAGCGCGCATCCTCGGCCGCGCACGTTCTCAACAGCTGTGGCAAATGGCGGATAAACAACAAACACCTGGATTGGCACCTGTTCTGAAACCCAACACAGGGAAACAGAAGAAGACCCAGGAAGAAATCCAAGTTGAAAAGAATGAATTAGATAAAGCAAGACGACATGTTATGATAAATGCCAACGTTAGTAGCTAACCCATTTAACCTCAGTAAGCTACTGTTCATATTTACCTACATATAGTTATCTTGACTTATTCTGTTGTGGATCAGAATTAAAAGCAGTTAGATATGTTGAAATTACTGTGTGCACTACCTCTGTCGAAAATAAAAAAATAAATAAAATACAATGAGGCCTGGTCAACATTAGCGCTTAGCCTGTCAGCTAATTGCTCTACTGCTGTTTGTCCAGGCTGATATTAGTCATGTTTGTATTTAGTGTTGTTCACGTTTGATTTTTAACACCAGCATGAAAACGTGTGCTAGTTCTACAGAATATATGCTGTTGCTGATTACTTTTTGTTCAGAAATATAGTATATATTCATGCTAAATTATTGTCCCAGAGGTTTTACAACTACAGAAAATTTTGTGTTTATTTTTTCATCAGTCTGATAAGAGAAAACACATCAAATAGTGGGCTAGTTAGATAGTGGGTCATGAGGACCAGAATTTAGAACCACTGCAGTTAAGGGTTTTTTTCACTATCTGGAGCATCAGAAAATGTTTAATGGGGGAAATGTTTAAAATCATTAAGAAACTATCCATGTTGGAATAGAAATTATGTTTTAGTTTATGTTTGTTAAAAGACATCAACACAGACACTTATGTATTCATCACAAGTTATATCATCATCATCACAATAATAAGCAGTTATTGCACATCAGACAGGTTTTCCTGATATTTTGCTGCCAACAAGTTTTCTTCCTCCTCAGGATGTAATTCATTGTGATCAAAATTTCTAAAACATTTTCTACTTTATGCTCTTTCAACAGGTCAAACCGTCCCAGACATGAAGGCACGTGAAGGAATCATCTTTCAGCTCTAATCACAATGTTCATGTATTTACCTGTGCAAATAATAATAATAATAATAATAAAATAACAATTTTACCCATTTGCCAAACAAAGCATGTATTTAATCCAGTGAAGTTCATTGTGCCTATATATCTGATAAATCTTTAAAAACTTTTCTCTTTTACTATACAAAGTTACTTTAGGTCTCTTCAGACATACTGGACATGTTTCAATATATTGCTACAAGAGACAAAATAACAGTCTATTAAAAAAAGAAAAGTTTTAAGAGCACATTTTTTAAGATGTTAGTTCTTGTTTTAGTGTTTGTCATTGCATGTCTAGCACTGACCCAGTGATTTATCATGATTCCTAATGTAAGTTTGTGTTTTGTAATTGATCAAAAGATAATTCAGTAATGTTCAATGGTAAAGTGATGCTTTAGTTCTAACTAATAAGCAGTTACCAAAAACTAAAACCATTTAACACTTTATTGAAGAATATTTACCAAAATTCTAATAGAAATAATAATTTAAATAGGAAAATCTTTTATACATGGCAAGACAGTTTTAAAAAATGTATAGCCTCAAGGAAATAAATCCACTTTATTGTCCATGAAGAGGTTTAAAACAGTCCTGGAAGTCTACACTCGCAGCCTTGATGCGTGGAAGGTAGGGTTGAGATGCAGATGTCTTGCTGAGGTTCTCAGGACCTGAAGCCACTCTGCTGCATCTCCCACGTGGCCTGCGTGATTTTCCAGCACACAGCTTCCCTGTCCATCAGCTGGTAGATGACGTTCTGTTTGGAGCCCATTGATTGTCAAAAACTAGCTGCATAGCATAAAGATAAAATGTCACACTGTGCAAAGCAAGAGCTGAAAAATACTAATACACAGGCTTGTCATGTTGCTGAAATCATAAACKGTATCTAACAATACACAATGCTAATCTGCAGCTATGGTGTTATGTTAGCTTGATAGCTATTTATAACTCATAAAGAGTGCAACATAATTTACATGTAACATTATGACAAAAGGAGCACTTGTGTAGATAAAGTATGGGCAAGACATGATAGTTAAAAATATATTGTTGATGGTTTATTCTTACCTGTGACGGGTGCTTAGCTCTGAGCTCTGTGTTACGTTACGGTCTGCACTCTTGCTGTTTACAAGCATGCGCGCAGCGCGCTCCTGGCTGAGGGTACTGCTGTGGGGGAGGAGCTTAGGAAGGTGGGCTGAGAGCAGGGGGGAGGGACTTGAAGGTTGTATCTCTTCAAAAATTTTCTAAGTTCTGGGCTTTCAAGAAACTACATACTGCAACTTTAATGTCATATTGTTTGTGTAAACATAAAGATGCAGGGAGTTCTAACTTTTCAGGAGTAGGAGGCTATTTAGAAAAATTAGACGGCTGACCATTTATAGGGAGGTCAACCAAGAGGGGTCTGGGGGTCCTCCCCCTGAAAACAAATTTATATTGTAGAGCATCAATTTGCATTATTTTATTTTGTTTTGTTAACTGATTTATTGATTTTATTGTGTTTGTTTTATTGTGGTTTTTATTATTGACTTTTGTAAGGTGACCTTGAGTTTTGAAAGGCGCGTGTAAATAAAATGCATCATTATTATTATAATTTTTTACCAGCAATGCATTTTCTTGGCATTTGGCACAAGACTACAAGAGATTTTTAAGAGTCCAAAATCTTCTGTATTTTGGAATCCCTTGTGCGTTTACATTACCTTGCTGTCTGATTGGCTACACATCACATTCAACATATAAATCACAGTAGGAGATAATGTGTTCTGGCTGATATACTTACAAATAATAGGAAACTTTAAAACCCAATTCTACCTGAGATAACGGTGGATAAGCTCCTCAATGGTGAGCAGGTCCTCAGGCTGAGGGACCACTGGCATGGGAAACTGGTGCTGCAGGGGGCTTGGTTGCAGCACCTGGAAGGATGCCTGACAAATCAGTATAGGCTGCCCGTGCTGGATGGCTTTTACAGAGCGAACAGCGAAACTGCGGCCATCTCGTGTGTGGTCCACCTGGTACAGCACGGAAACCTTAGGGTCCCCTAAAAACCCACACAAGCAGTGAAAAAAACTTTTATATACTTGTTACTAGTTGTACAATAAACATGCAATTGTATAGTTTGTAAATAAATTTAAAGGCAACACAACCTTTAATGCCAGAGTTTCAGACTAAGACTATCATATAATAAAAAAATAGTGGCTGTGTCTCAATTTGTGGGTTGCAGCTGACATAGACCGCGGCGGATGTTGGCTGCAGTCTACATGGGCTGTAGGCCGCTCGTGCCAGATGCATAAACGGCTGTGAAACTTGACAGTCTAGTCTACAGAAGACGTACGTTTGCGTGACCACGTGCTGCCTGATTACCATGGTGATACGTTTTATATCACATCGCTTCAGTTGGTATAACTTCATAAAATTCAGTTTTAATAGAAAAACGTTACAAATAAATAAATAAATAATCATTAATTTGGGTTTAGCTCCAGTATCAGTACTTGAAACTGCATTTTATTTAACACCTCATTACAACAAAAGCTTCTTCAGGTAAGTTGTTTAACTTACATAAAATTCCTGACTCCATAATAAAAAAATAAATAAAAATCTGCCGTAAAATAAAATTACTTTGCCGTCTTTGTTTTTCTGTTTGATTTGCTGACGGCGCAATAAATTCTGGGATACCATCGGCCATGTAGGATACTCAAGCTAGGTTTATTGTTGACATGTTGTGCCGGGCGCGCGCCAAAAGTGACACAATCAAATTTTCCACTCCCCTGTGCGTTGGCCCCGTGCAGTGTCCTGGTGTGTGGTCGTGCACCCCCGAATTTTTGTAACTCTGCAAAGGTTGCGCACGATTTGCGCACCATTCAAATAACATGTGTCTGTCAAGCTTTTGCTGTCCTACATTTTCACAAGTAATAAAGTCTACTGCCACGTGTACGCACAGCCTGTGCGGAGTTACAAAATTTCGGAAGTGCACGACCATGTGCTGGGACACTGCACGGGGCCCAACACTCAGGGGCAGGGACAACACGATTGTGTCACTTTTGGTGCACGCCCCCTCGTACCTGGCACGACACGTCAACTATAAATAAACCTAGCTTACCTCAGCCTTAAGATGCAGCCGAAGTTTTTGGGGTTTTGTCAGCCACAGGAGTAGGGGCTGACAAATTGGGGCAGCCTACGTGGGGTAGTGATGACATCAGCTGCAAGCCATGAATTGAAACACAGACAGTGAATAATTAGCCATTTTAGTCAAATTTAGTTAATGAGGTTACACAGAATCTCATGCACAGTACACAGACGCCTTTCATAATGATGGGCAATAAAGTTTAAATAAATTGCACAATAGTATTCAGTATTAAAAATAGAGAAAAAACATACGTTGATCTGTCAAAATTCTTTATATATTTTTATTGAGAATTACTATAAACATTGTCCATGTTTATAAAATGCATTTGACCCAGCAAAAGAAGCAGAGGTGTGCCTGTGATTTTCAAATCAGGGTTAGTTGAATCTGTGGAGAAACCAACTCATTCATCAAATAACTGCGGCCTCGCAGTCATGAAAAGATTCACAAAAATATAGCTTCCAGTCAGCTAGTCTTACCTGCTCGTACAAAGTAACAGTGGATGGAGTGAGCGTAGAAGTTGTCACTGATGGATTTGGCTGCAGCCACCAAAGCCTGACCAATTATCTGACCCCCAAACAAGCGCTGAGTGCGGGGTACCCAGTGTTGTGTCCCCCTGAGGAAAGTTAGAAACTTCTGAAACAAACACTTGACTTTATTAAGTTAATCTAATCAGAGTTAAAACTAAACTTTGATGGCTGTGATGTTTTTATTTACTATATTTAATAAAATTGTCATTTATTTTACCATGTGACTGTTAAAAAAATAACTAAAAAGTGGATTTTAATTCTGAATTCCATTTTTTAGCTTTAAAAGTGTCCCTGACCACTGAACAAGAGAAACACAAAAATGGCCACCCCTTGCGAGAATTTCAGCAACCTTTAAGGATGGGGCTAGGTGTTGTAGTATTATGCATGCTTAGGTACTGTCATAAAGGCAAAAGACCATCAGTATCACATACAACACCTAAACTCAGCAACGGAGTCAAAGGTTTTGTTAATTGTTATGATTATTTGAAATGGCAGTTTAAATAACATGACATTAGGTGAGTATTATGCCACATTCATTTATATTTCATTAAAAACTTGACCTTTTCAGTTTTTATCTGATAGAAAATAATTCATGAATGCAATATGTAAAACTACAGAACTACAAGTTATTTAAAGATTCAGTGGTGTTTACCCTACCATTATGAAGCAGTCTTTTGTGCTATGCATGTTTGTGCAGTTAGATTATCAAGCACTTTCAAGGAATTTATACAGAAATAAGCACTTTCCAAACCTTTAAAACACTTTAAAATTTAAGATTTTTTCAAGGATTTCAAGCACCAGTACAAACCCTGAAACTTGCAGAGAACAGTGCAAAAACAATTATATTTTTTATTCATAAGGATTAGATGTGTGTGAACACTAATACTGAATGTCATATTACAAAATGGAAATTCTGATGTTGCAGAGGTCTTCAACACTGTTCCTCGTGACCTACTGTCATGCACATTTTAGTGATGTGCAGATCGATACTGAGATATCAATACTACTGATACCAGAACTTTATGCTCTAGAAGCAATACAAAAATTAAAATAGATACTTTGATACTTTAGTTATTTCACATAATGTATATCACTAACAGGAAACTAGTGGAAAAATAACTAAACTATTCAAATCTTGTCTAAATCATGTGATTGGAGGGAACTACTTTTTCTTCCGCTTCGGTGATGCATAAACACAGTGGCATGTGCTCAGTCAGTCACTCAGTCTGTAGATGGTCATTTTAACATAAAATCTGCTTTGTCTGACTGTAACTAAATTCTAGATGAGGGGTTCCCAAACTTTTTCATGCCATGCCCCCACAAAAAAGCATTAGCTCTGACCAGGGACCTTCTTGCAAACCCAAAACAATGCTACAAAATATACAAAGTAACAACTTTTAAAATATTTTTTCTCACTTTTATTCACTATT